CCCACCTTAAGGCATCCCACGCTTACATGTGTGTGTGTGTGCTTCATACCTTGATTTACAACAAGCCTGATTCCTCGTCTTCAGATCTGGAAGATGTGAGCACTGTGATGCCGTCTCTCTGTGACCGCACAGGAAATGTTTGGATCCATCTGTGATGACTTCACAGGAAGCTTCATGTTCTCACAGTGACCTCACAGGAAGTGCTGAGCTACATCTGTGACCCCCCACAGGAAGGAAGAGCTTTCAAGGATGAAAGCCTATTTCCCAATTGGGATTTCAAAGAAACGCTATTAAACGACAGGGAGAGCCACTGTTTGTTCATCCGTCCTGTGTATCATGATTTGATCTTGACAAAGTTGAAATGAAATGGTCATTTTAACTGCTCTTTGCCAAAGAACAATTTTAGGTTTGTTCCTTGTGTAAGTGAACATGGAAATTCGCACTGCTTCGCCTTCAGTAACTCCATAATTCCACTGTGTTTTGTGACGTTGACTTGCGTGTGAAGGATGTATTTCCGTCTCCATGTCGTGCTGAACTTTGTCAGTTCTGCTGAAGTGCTGTCATGTTACGTTCTGAAAACCACTAAAAGGGTGAATCTCACCAATGTTTGAGTCATATTTCACTCCAAAGTTAATAGATTATTATTATTTGTGTTAAATTCTTTAGGTTAGGTTAAAGTTTTTAGAACTATTAAGAATTTTCCCACACTATTTCATGACAATTTAGCACATTATTCCACCAAATTCATTACATTATACAATGCAAATAATGCATTACAGTAAACAAATCTAATACAATATATATTTTTTCCAAATCAACATAAATTAGAGGTTGTATAAGAAATACCACAAAAATAAAAAAATATATATAAAAATTAAATGAATATATATATACACACACACACACACACACACACATATATATATATATATATATTTTTTTTTTAATTAATTTTTTTAGTCAATTTCACAATTCCACAAACATATGAAGCAGCACAACTGTTTTCATCTTTGATAATAATCAGAAATGTTTCTTGAGCGGCAAATCAGAATATTAGAATGATTTCTGAAGATCATGTGACACTGAAGACTGGAGTAATGATGCTGAAAATTCAGCTTTGCATCACAGGAATAAATTACATTTTAAAATATATTCACATAGAAAACAGTTATTTTAAATTGTAATAATATTTCATAATATTACAGTTTTACTGTATTTTTGATCAAATAAATGCAGCCTTGGTGAGCCTTTTTTATTACTGTAAAGATTTTAGTGAGGGAGATGTTTGAAAATCATAGTAATAGGCTTAATTTTCTGATGTTGGACTGAAATATGACACATTATTGGCATTTCTTGAAATTCACCCAGAAGCGTTCTGTTATTGTCTGCTAAACTTCCCAGCATGCCTGCTGTGTTTCAGGGAGTTGCATCAGACGTCATTGTATGCTAGAGCATTTAAATCACCCGTGTCAGGCTGGATTGCTGCCGTGTGGGATTCCATCTCCAGCGTTTTCAGTTGCTGTAAATTGCAAGTACATATTAATCTGAATATTTGTGCTGTTGGAGTGTTTGATAGGCCAGTTTTTCTTCTGAATCAGGTTTCTGCTTCCCTAAAGCAGGCCAGTTTTGTCGTTTGATGAATTTTGAATGCTGCTGACTTCACCTTTTGTTGGTTTGTTGTTTTTGTTTATTTTGTCACATGGCAGCTGATTGGTTCTCTCCTGTATCGGTAACCAATGAGCTTACTGCTCAATATTCTAATACCTGGCTTTTGTTTGCTGTAGCTGTTTGCAGCGCACTTCAGAAACGCTCCACCTGTATAAATCTTCTACAGGGTGATTTATGTATGCTATATGGGGGTTATTCATATGTGTTATATGTGCAGCAGCAGTATTTCTTACATGCTCACAGCAGCATGTTGTGGATGTATTGGCAGTAGCAAGTCTCAGTACTTGCTCTGCCGCAGCAGTGTAGCACATCTATTCCGCCAAGACCAAATACATTAACATTGTCATGTACATTGTCAATCCCTACGAGAGTTGTCATGACAGAAGTATATATATCTCACAATTGGGACTTTTCTTCTCTGAATTGTGAGTTTATATCTCTATATTTTGGGAGATAAAGTCACAATCAAGTTGTTTATATTTCTATTCTGTGGCGGAAAAAATCTTGCATAGGTTTGGACTGAAATTAGGTAAATGATGGCCGAATTTTCATTTTTAGGGGAATTATTGCTTTAACTCCTTTTCTTCATGTTGTCCATCAACACAAGTTTTACTCCGTGTCGAGTTTGTTTAATGTTTGTTTGCGTGAATGATTCACATCTGACTGAACGCCTCCTGGGTTCTGCTTTGTATATTTATCAAACACCACGAATATTTTTCGGTGGCGTTACCATTGATGGGCTTCATGAGGATTATGGGGCAGATGCCAGTCTGACCATGCCATGAAAAGGCATTTGATTTTGGCCTTAATTATTAACTGTAGACTTATGGAATAAGATGTACATATATAAACTGAAACATATTTCAAGTTAAAAGAAAAAAATTAACTTGAAATGTTTTAAAGCCTTTAAATAACCAGTAATACCATTTAAGTGTGTTATATATCTGCAAATCCAGAATTCCCTTTTGATCCCTGAAAGATAACTTTGACCGGTTAGCTTAATGTTTTTGCTGGATGAAAGCCATTTATTGAGCTTTGGCTTGAGTGGAATGGAGGTATCTATCGTATTCTGACATTCACACTGCACTTTCAGTGTTTCAAAGAAGCTTGACTTAAAGAAATGGTAGATATGAATCATAATTTTCCAGAATGTCGTTAAATGTGCCACACACCGCATTCCATTCATAAATATGGGTCTGTACAGGGTGATATTGTTCACCCTCTCACTGTTAAATACTGAAATAGTCTGTCATCTTTATGAAGATGTTGCCTTATATAATTTATAGAGTGTACGTCACCATTTAATCGACTGTAGTTTGTTGTCATCTCTCTTTTGTACTGCTGGCATTGATGTTTGAGGTTACACTGTCTTAGAGTTGTGTTTTTCTTTTCTTCTTCTTCTTTTTTTATTTTTAATGAGACGACATTCCCTGAAATATTAGTTGACAGGGGAAAATGCTCTGCCCGGCGTGTAGTACAACAGTCGACCTAGAGAACTGTCAATGAACATGAAATAAAGGATATATATTATAAAAAAGGACATTTTCACTTGTTTTATTTTCAAAATATCCACTTTGTTACTGCTGAAATATAAGTGACCATGTAGCACAAAAGCAGTGTTGAGTCGCTGGGGGATATTTGTAGCAATAGCCAACAATACAGTGTATGGGTCACAATTATAGATTTTTCTTTTATGCCAAAAATCATTAGGATATTAAGTAAAGATCATGTTCCATGAAGACATTTTGTAAATTTCCTACTGTAAATATATCAAAACGTAATTTTTGATTAGTAATATGCATTGCTAAGAACTTAATTTGGACAACTTTAAATGCGATTTTCTCAATATTTAGATTTTTTTTTTGCACCCTCAGATTCCAGAATTTCAAATAGTGGTATCTCGGCCAAATATTGTCCGATCCTAACAAACCATACATCAATGGAAGGGTTATTTCCTCAGCGTTTAGATGATGTATAAATCTCAATATCGAAAAATTGACACTTAAGACTGGTTTTGTGCTCCAGGGTCACATATTTGGTGTAATTTATGGAGGAAATACAGAAAAAAGTGCACTCTCATAAAAAAAAAAAAAGTACGTAACTATCACTAGGTGGCACAGTACCATTTCAAAAGGTACTAAAACAGTACAGTATGTTGTTTTTTGTATATGGTTTTGCTCTTATTAATGTTGAAATTAGATCCAAATGTGTGAGATTTGTTCCTGAACTGTTTTGAGGTTAAACCATTTTATCACTGGTGTGAATCTCACCTTTACCATGAAAATGTTTCATTTGATGATAACTAACAATGCATTATGTAATAGTAATTGTATTTATCTGAGCTTCTTTATGGTGTTTAGTCAGATTTTGCTGCTTTGTGCTTTTAGTGTAGTCTAGACCTCATGCCACACTTAACAAAATACAATCAAATTATATTACAATGCAGTTTAATTATTCAATTTTAACTGTGAAACATGAAAAAATGTTCAAATGAAATAACTAGGGCTGTCAAGCAATTTAAAATTTTATATATATATATATATATATGTACATAATGAGTCATTCATTCAACCGATTCGTTCAAACAGCCGATTCATTCAGAAACGCAGAAAGTTACTGTCTTTATGAACGAGTCACTGAATCATTATTGACTCACTCAATTCATGAATTCATTCAGTAACGAAACACCGTGTCGCTCGAAAAGTCAATAGTTTTGCTGTGGCTCTGTTTCAAACTTTTCGTTTGCGAAGTTGAAAACAGACAATACTGTGTCTAAAATTGAACACATAACTTTTTGTTTATTGAGGTTTCGCGATCGTGCAATTGTTCGGGAGAAACAGCACTCTTGTCTTACTCGTGTGAAATTGCTAAATTATATCATATAAAATAAATAAGTCCAAAACCAATAGGGACATTTTTTGCCATCAAATCTTAAACTTTAGAGGCATAAAACTGCATTCCATCATTCATCATGCATTCCATCAAACTGCATACATCACACAGTCAGTTGTCGATCTGCATCACGTTTGTCAGCAACTGCATCAGTGTAAGATTGTGTTATTTTATCGTGTTAAGGCGTAGCCCTAGAAATTACACTTAAAACTAAAGCTGACAACGAAAGCAGATCTCTTCGTCTGAAAACATGACACACTGATACTGTATATCAGTCGTTTATCACTGTTTGGTTTCAGTGTGTGCCTGTGTGTCCATGTTTGCAAATATGTGTGCAGCTGAAGTTCAGAGAAACTCCTCCTTAACAGCAAACATGAGCAGACTCTACCCCTCCTTTCCCTCTTCACTTGCACTCTATTCCTCCTTTCCTGACGGAGAGTTTCATCCTGCAGCTGCCCTGGAGTCTTGGAAAGAGCCGCTTGAAATCTTTTGGAAAAGCTTTTAAATATAAAGTCACCATCTCTGAGCTGAGGAGAACTGGAGCAGCAACGGTCAACCAATGCAGAGAGGAGGAGAGAGACTGAGGACGGAAACTACAGGTGAGCAGAGAGAAAGAGAGACGAGATGCCAAATAACCCCCCAAAAAACACTGCCAATGAACCGTGAGACATAGTTGACAGATAGTTGGAGTGTAGAGGACATACAGTATATGTGCTTCATTAGACATTTATTTGTGTGATTTATTTATTTATTTTTGATTAATAACTGAAATAATGTTTACAAATCATCATGCTGGCTTGAGAAAGGAAACAGGCTGTTACTTTTTCTAAATCCATAAACTGACACCAACATTTTGAACTGTAGCTCAAGCTTCATTCCCTAAAATGTTCCCGTATCAGACAATCCCCCAAATCGCATATGCTTACATTGTACATTTCTGCTGATAATTCCATCATCTTTTCTTACTGATCCGACTTAGTTTTTCGTGTAGTGGATGTTCAAAAAATCCCCTTTGATTTTTCTTGATGTCTGTCAGTAAAGCTTATATAATCCTTCAACTTTAAAGGTTTTTAAACTTTCTGAAAAGGCTTTGTCAAGCCAGCATTCACAGTTTGTATCTAATTTATATAAGCGCATGATTCTGTATATTATTTTTAAGTAGCTTTGATCAAAGTGTATGATGAATAAATGGAGCGTAGCATTAGTTCTGGCAGGCCATGTTAGTCAAGCTCGCATCAGCTGATCCACGTCTACCTATAGGATCACGACACCAATCATAATTCTCTTCATTAGGTCCCTTCAGTCATTATTCAGCAGCTATCGCTTCACTCAGGAACTAATCACGCACCTCCATCCCCAGCTCCTCCTATCGTCCAAGACTTGGCAGTGAATATATCATTGAGACAGACCACTGAATCATGTTGTTAAATAATCACGTAGAACATTAATGGTATCTGCCACATTTATCATTGATGTTGGTTCTGTTCTGTTACCCTGGGGGGGTATTCTGCTCTCCCTGCTCCTATCCATGCTAGGCTGCGTGGATGGGCAGGGAGTGTTTGCCCAGAACAGAACCATTCCCCCAGCCTAAAATGTATGCTAATCGTAAGTTATTCTGACGATAGTGGTCCTGACAGAAATACATTTATGGAGAAAATGTAATGAGCCTTTCTCCTGTTTGACTTAAACTTAGGCTTGGAATCCCACAGACCGGTGTGAAGTCACACTCCTCTGGCACTTAATTTGTCTACGCATCAGGTGTTGTGGTAGAGCACTATAATTGAGAAATTGTATTTAATTTTGTTGTATTTTTAAGCAATGATTCTAAAACAAAATGGTGTTAAAAATGATCACAGTGATAATATTGAAATCCTGATTTAAACCAGGTTTTATGCTTGTACAAAAATTTTTATAAAGAACCATTATGATCTACAATGAATAATAATAATAATAGTAAAACATTTAGGATTTGAATGTTTGAAACATTCTCAAATCATGCTGGACTATAGTATTCTAAGGTAGTTTTAGAATTAGTAGTATTATTTATATACTTAATTTGTTTAAGTGAATCTTCTTAAATGCTTGTCATTTTTATAGTTCTTTTTATATCTCTGTCTTTAAATATTTGTAGTTTTATTTAAAAAATTTTTAGCAGTTTTAGTACTACTGCAACTTCAACTAGCTGACAAGGCAAGATTTTTCATTTTCATTTAAGTATTTATCTAATACTTATGTTATAGTTCTTTTTATATCTCTGTCTTTAAATATTTGTAGTTTTATTTAATTTTTTTTTAGCAGTTTTAGTACTACTGCAACTTCAACTAGCTGACAAGGCAAGATTTTTCATTTTCATTTAAGTATTTATCTAATACTTATGTTATATATATATATATAATTACTATACAATTCATTTAGTAATAAAAATAAAATCCATTTAGCTTTGAACATTACATAGGCAGGATCAACTGCCTGAAATAATGAAATTATGTAATATGTTAAAACATGAATTAATGTGACACCTGACCCAGATTGGCCCCTCAGACGTTTAATTGGTTCTGCTTTACAGATCAGACCTAACATTGCTGTAATGACACGAAAAATGTCCCAAAGAGTGTGTTTAATGCCACTTGGTTTGATATTTTGCTAAAACGCTGTAACACTCATAGATTCAAATACTTCCAGTTATATGTTTTATGTAAGCGTTTGTGTTTGTACTGTTGTTGTGTGTATGATGTTCTCTCAGGGACTCAAGGCTCTTTAGGGAGCTTTTCTTAGTACATAGTGCGCATCTTTAATTGGGTCATGTTATACAGTGTTTCCTCTTCTGTATTCATTAATTAGTCATCTTACTTTATCTACATAATGGTGTTCAGTTACACATTTATTGAGAGAACTATTTGACCCTCATGCTCTGTTTGACCCAAGACCATTCAAATACCTCGAAACTATACTGAAATAGCCAAACAGGTTGTTACTTATGGTATTTAAACTACCAGTCGAAAGTTTGAAATAATTAAGATATTTAATGTTTTTAAAAAGTTTCTTCTGCTTAACAAGGCTGCATTTATTTGATCAAAAGCACAGTAAAAATAGTAATATTGTGAAATATTATTACAATTTAAAATAGCTGTTTTCTATGTGAATATATTGTAAAAATGTGATTTATTGCTGTGATCAAAGCTGAATTTTTGGCATCATTACTCTAGTCTTCAGTGTCACATGATTCTTCAGAAATATTTCTGATTATTAGAAACTGTGATGCACTACCATTCAAATGTTTGGGCTAATTAAGTTTATATATATATATATCAGTATTTTTATTCAGTAGGGACATAAAAAAAGGGACAGTAAAACATTTATAATGCTACACAATATTTCTATTTCAAATAAATGCTGCTCTTTTGAACTTTCTATTCATCAAAAAATCATGAAAAAAAGGTATTTTGGTTTCCACACAAATATGAAGCAGCACAACTGTTTTCAAACATTGATAATAATCAGAAATGTTTCTTGAGCGACAAATCAGCATATTAGAATGATTTCTGAAGATCATGTGACACTGAAGACTGGAGTAATGATGCTGAAAATACAGCTTTGATCACAGAAATCAATTACTTTTTAAAATACATTCAAATTGAAAACAGTTATTTTGATAACACTTTACAATAAGGTTCATTGTCATTAACTAACATTAACAAATATTGTAATAAATGTATTGTTCTTTGTTTGTTCATGTTAGTTAATAATGGAACCTTATTGTAAAGTGTTACCGATATTTTATTTTATTTTATCGTTTATTTCAGAATTTTATTTCATGTACTGTATTTTTTTTAATCACATAACTGCAGCTTTGGTCAGCAGAAGAGAAGACATTGAAAAAATGTGATTATTCCAAACTTTTTACCGATATTGTAAATGCCAGATTTTGTATTTTTGGTTCTTTATTACAAAATAATAACTTAATCATTGCATCATGTTTTAAAGAGGGGCAGAAGGTTCTCAGATTGGCGGCCAGAAAACACAGAGGTGAACTGGCTGTTTTGGGATAATGATGAAAAGGAAGAAGAATTTAGTGGAGGACAGCTCCACACTTATCGCCCTCTCGGACCATCCTGAACAAACCTACGGGAGCATGGAGGTACCACAACCGTCTGTGTGTGTGTGTGTGTGTGTGTGTGTGTGTGTGTGTGTGTGTGTGTGTGCGTGCGTGAGTGTGTGTGCATGTGTGTGTGTGTGTTTAAATAAGTGCAGGTTGTTTACAAAAATCATCAGCGGTCACAAAGAGAGGAAGCTAATTAGCAGTTAACAATGTATGCAAACATGCCAAATTTCCTCACATCTCTCACCCTCCACCACTCCACCCTAATATCCCTGATAAGACACACATTAGAGGCTTTTCCTAGGAATTTTCTTGTATGCATGAATATCAGTTCTTCATATGCCTATTGATAATGGATATGTCTGCATGTTATTCACAGATGAGTGCGGCACCTCAGGAAAACATGAACGTGTTCAGTGATGGGGTCACCCGGATCGGTGAGTTTTGTGCATTTTCTCTACTAACAATATTTCCCATTTGTTTCTTGTATGAGATTCATCTGTATAAGGCTGATAAATAGTGATGATTTCAGAATAAGTCAGATTTAGAATTTCAGTGCATTCGATCAATATGAAGACATCGTTGTGAATGTGTCGTCAGATTTTGTCTTGGTGTGGGAGGAATCTGTGAACCCCCTGAAGTTTGCCGAATCAGATGAAGTATCGTCGGGTTCCTCGCGTGACACTCACAGGAAGTGGAGGACAGAGTTTCTTTCCAGACTCCGGACTGCTGGTCTTCATCAGGAGACGGTACGTAACTCCGACTACATTTCCACACACATCAAATTCTTTTTAAATTCTAGATTTGAGTTGCAGCCATAGTTCTATACAGCCTTGTGAAAAAGAAGTGCACTTTAGCATATTTTAAAAAAAAGGAGTACTTACTATGGAAATAGGCATACTATAAAAGCATATACTTAAGCTCAAACTGAATGTAATGTGTTTGAAAAACATAATGATTTAAAATGTACTTCAATTTGACTTTTTTACCATGTGCACTTTTTAAAGGTGAAACTTTTAAGAAACTGCCATTGTCATTTATTTTATTAATGTTATCTGCAGTTTTTTTTAGGACTCTAACACTTCTGAACACCTTCAAAACGGTCTGACAACACATAAATGCATATATTTTAATTCCCCCTTTAGGTGGCTCTTATGGGGGGAACTTTGATTTCAAACTCTAAAAAAGACAAGTAAACAGTCAGCAATAAAATAAGAATAGATAAATGACAAGCAATGGCACAAACAAATACAATAACGAGATACAACTAAAATGAACTGTGCTTTAAGTTTTTCAGGTAGGTATAACAGTAATATCCAGGTACAGAACTACCACAGAAACGGAATAATCTATTTAACTTTAAAATAACACTGGTTAGTCTTCAATGTATAAATAAACATTAATGACAGACAGCAGCAGGTTTATTTAGGTTGCTGTCTCTTTAAGACCTCAGGCACGGATCTAACTGTTGCAAATAAGTTTTGTTTCTCAACTCTTTACGTGGATACTCATCAAGACGGGCATTTTAACATCATTTTGTATGTATTTACGGCTGTTTACACTCAATAAGACGCAACACAACTTCATTCTGTAGTCACGCGCTCTCAGATGCGGCTCTGTGTATGCGCTTTGGGTGTGAGCTCACAGAAAGGAGTCTCACAGAGAGTGCACAAGTACTGAATTGAGC